AAGAAACATAAGCAACGGTAAGGGACTGAAGTACTTAGACAGTGCTAGGAGCAAATACACATAAGACAATGACACTATCCGGTGATGACTCTCAGGAGCTGAGATCACAGAGGATTCCCTACAACCAAGTTCGTGCCCATCCCTTCCAGAGCCAGGCCTCTGCTCCTGATCCCATCCAGAGATTTCCCTAGGCTGCCCAGGTGGGCATGGACATCTCACAGTCACCTAGGGGGCCAGAACTCAAATGCATTCCCCCCCCGCCTCCCCACTTCACTCCATCACTCAGCAGCTCTGGCCCAGAACCTCTTTGGATCCTATCTTTTGCTCCAGTGGGTCTTCAGCCCCCCAACGGGTCATTTATCTCCTCAAACCCTTGTGAAGCTGCTCCCTGCTTTAGGGTGTCAGTGATGAGTGTTCCCGCTCAAGCTTCCTCTCACTGGGACGTCTAGCTTCCTCATTTCCATATCTCCCTTTTATATACTCTACGTAGAACGCTACTGTCATCTTCAGAAAACAGACTTTCATGACACTGCTTCTCCCCTCCATAAAATTCCAGGGCTGTCTGTTGGCTGCAGGAGGGACTTGAAGTCTTCAACTCTGTTTCCAGGTTCTCTATTTGTCCCTCGCTATGGGTAAACCTTATACATCTTCTACATGTCAGCCACCATGGATCTCCGGTCTTGCCCTCTCTCTCCCTCCCCTACAAGTTGTTTAAAGATCTGCTTAGGTGCTAACTACTGGGAGATCTACATCTGAAAAAACCCTTCCAGCCAGCTGCCAGTGGCTCCTGCCTGCAATCCTAACTATTCAGGAGGCTGAAACCTGGAATAAACCTAGCCTGGGCATGGATTTGTCTAAATCCATGAAACTCTTATCTCCAATTAACTAACAAAAAGATGGAAACAGAGTTGTGGCTCAAGTGGTAGGGTACTAGCTTTGAACAAAGGGACAGCACCCATGCTTTGAGTACTATCAAGGTACTAAGCACAAATAAATATTTTTTCATTGTATAGCTTTGATATTTCAGCTATACTGACAGAATTGTCTTTCCCCCAACTTAGTGTACTCCGTACGTCTTAAGACTTTAGGATTCGAAACTTGAAAGAGAAACATCAAAAGTTTAAAATGTTAGCCTTTAAAATGAATCATTTTAAAATTAGACTTGTCTGTTGTTCCACATACAAAGAAGAAAGGCATCAAATGTGAATAATGAGAGATTCTAATTCAGGAGGCGCAGTAGGGGAAAAGTAAACCTGATATTATCCAACGCAATGAACACGAGGGTTTAGTTTCAAATTATGTAGTGTATTTAGGTTTCACAGCATTGGCTTCATCCTGTGCAACTTTTTGGTTTCTGGTGCACAATTCTGTCTAGGAGCTCAGAAGCAAACTAAAACCTCCATCTGACTTCCTAAGTCTGTTAAAAGGGCCCCTAACATCTCACAAGACTGGAAATAGAGGTGCAAGCTTCTCTTTAGCATTGTCCTTTTCTACCACATTCTCTAGGATGTATAAATGTTTATTAAAACAGAGCTTGATATGTAGGCAAATACACACTGAGTTGATAATCTTGAGTGAATTCATGACTGGAAGGACCAAGACTTTAGGTGGCACTCATACAAACAGAAGTTCAGAAGAAGCAGTGGTGAAGGCTGCTAAGGCAACATTCTTTTTAACGGCATCCAAGAAGAGAGAGGGGTCATGGGAGTGAAGGGTCAAAACCAATCAGAAGAGCATGCTCCAGTCTGAGATGATTACAAGCCAATCATACAATTGAAAAACAAAAGCAAGGCGCTGCTGGCTCACACCTGTAATCCTAGCTACTCAGGAGGCTGAGATCTGAGGATTGTGGTTCAAAGCCAGGCCAGGCAGGAAAGTTCATGAGACTCTTATCTCCAATTAACTACCAGAAAAGCAGAAGTGGCCAATGTGGCGCTGTGGCTCAAGTGGTAGATAGAGCGCTTGCTTGCCTTGAGCTAAAGAGCTCAGGGACAGCACTCAGGCCCAGAGTTCAAGCCTCACGACCGAAAAAAAAACAAACAAAAAACAAAACACTCATAACATATTGGAGGAAGTTCTAAGTCTTCTAAATCTGGAATTAGTATGTAGACACACACACATGCATACACTCAGGCTTATAGATTTAGGTTAAATGGTGTTGTGGTTTGAATAGGAAATGTCCCCAGATGGTGGCGCTATTGAGAGGCGAGTGGACCATGAGGACTTAGAATCCACTGAGTTGGGTAATAAATCTGATCACATTACTGTGAGGTGGGTGGACATTAAAGTGGAGCCTGGTCCTAGGGATGGGCCTTTGAAGGGGGCGTCACATGTTAAGACCTTGTTTTCAGTTGAAACTCCAGGATCCTGCCCCTGCTGAGAAATTATTATTGTTGTTGTTGTTGTTATTTTCTTGCTATGGATGGAACCCAGGGGTCTTCTCTCATACATGCTAGGCAAACATCTCCTTACTGAGCCATCCTTCTCAGGCTGTTGAAAAGTTGTTCGTTTGTTTGTTTTTAAAAGCAAGCATAGACCCTGGGAAAGGAATGGAGGGCTGGGAGGGAAGCAAAGCATGTCTCAGGTTTACTGAAGTGACTCTGAACACCCACTTTTTCTTTTTTCTTTTAAATAGAAATACAGTTGCCAAAGAGAAAGCAGCAATTTAAAATGCCAAAAACACAGGCAGAATGAGAAAAGGAGCGGTGTTCAGATGATTAATTATACTCACGCCGACACTCCAGGGCACTACTCTCTCATGCTCAGAGTCCAACAGACTTGCCAATTACTCATGAATCACACACACCCCCTCCCCCTCGTCTACCCTCAAAATTGTGCTTAGCAATTTGCACTTCGATATCAACTTAGATGGTTTTGTTTTTAGGGGGAAGATGGTGTTTAAGTCTTTCAGCAACCAAATCGGTTATTTTAGGAAAGTATAAAAACCACTTTTCTCTGCTATGGGGCAGAGTTCAGAACGTGATGGGATCATCAATGAACTCTTTAAACTGATGAGAAAAAATTAGGGAGCCTTAGAAGATAGAATAGTAGAGCCATAAAGTCAGTTTCTGCCAGACATTGGTGACTCATGCCTGTAATCCTAGCTACTCAGGAGGCTGAAATCTAAAGATCTCTGTTTGAAACCAACACAGGAAGAAAAGCTCCTGAGACTCTTATTTCCATGTAGCCAGTAAGAAGCCAGAAGTGCAGGTGTGGCTCAAGTGGTAGGGAGCCTGCAAGCCAAATTTAAGCAAACAAGCCAAATGAGAGCTCAAGGTCCTGAGTTTAAGCCCCAGTACCAGTGTATGTGTGTGCACATGTGCACCCACACACACACACACACACACACACACACACACACACACACACACACACACCAGCTCTATGAAATGCCAATAGCTATTTTATTAAAATAAAAAAACACAAACAAAACAAAACAAAAACGATGACTACGGAGGAGGAACATACTTGTGCTTTGTCCCAGAACCAGGCAGGAGAAGATTTCCTTAAGATGTGAAAATAATCTGCTAGCATTTTCTTTTAAAGTACCCACTTGTTTTTCATATCCCTTGCTCAAATCGAGTACAGGTCTTAAAGGTATTATCCCTTTAACTTCCATACAAATCCTTTTTACTATTCCAATTATTCTTTAAAAGTTACTTTTCCAGTAGTGAATGTCAAGCCCATAATTATGATCTAAGTTCTTTCTTAACTAAGTCCCGCAGTGAATGTTGGCAGATGAAGAATGGAGTGCCCATATCCCCATATCCTACCTGGATCACTCACTAACAATCAGCTTTCCCTGAGTACTCAGGACGCTCGGTTCAGAACCCCACGACCCTGGTCCACAGCTAGGATGACATTGCCTGGATACCCAGGCCTAGCAATAGCTCATGTGAGAAATTCTTGGAAACTTCTAACATGGGAGTGAGTACAAATACTGACCTTTAGGAAAGCGTACTAACCAAGCGTACTTTGCCTTGGGGGGGGCTGATTATTATTATTTTTAATAAGAAAACATAAGCTGTGCCAATTTGTAAAGTTAACCAGGGTGGCACTATAGTACTGAAGGCAAGATGAATTAGGATTGTAGATTTAGGGCCAATGAGACAAAGCATTTGCTGGATTTGAAAAAGTTTAAAATAAGTCAATCACTACCATGATTTCTGCTTTTAAAAAATATCCTAGGTGTTTGTGAATATAGAAACTCAGATTACCATGGTCAGACTCTTTCTTAGGAAAATGCTCATGGATTGGCAGATATTTTAAAAGTTAAAACATATTTTATGGTAAAAATGGACACTAGGCAAGTATGAGGAAAAGAGTGCTCTGTTTATAGAGGACAGTGTCCCCAGGATTTTGCCTAGCACTGGTGAGCTCTTGGTGACAACAAGGCCATGGTCACTCTACAATCTAGCATTGTGGTACACAAAATGTGGCCTTTGACAAAAATGCTGGGGCAAGCAACCAGCCTGCCAACTTGAAAAGCAGTAAATCAGCAAGATAATGTTTTCTGAGATTCCAAAAGAGCCTTTGCAACAGTAGAAAAGGTGACTCCAAACACACACATATACATACCAGTGACATGCATACCACCAGAAATGAGAGCGTTCAAGAAACCTTCAAAGCTTGTCTCCTTCCAGAGGGGCCCAGTTTCTTCCCTACCGACTAGTACACCAAAGTCCTACTTCAGTTTCCACACTGGAGCCACAGCTCCTCTTCCAGCTTTTTGGTGATTAATTGGAGATAAGACTTTCATGGGATTTGTCTGTCCTGGCTGGCTTTGAACCTTGATCTCAGATCTCAACCTTCTGAGTAACTAGGATTACAGGTGTGAGTCACTGGTGCCTGGCCTTAAGGGAACTCTTGATTTCACAAAACCTTGGAACACTTCCTACATGAAATGGACTTGCAATGATGACCCAAAAACATACTTTAAAGAGAACAAAAGTACAATGAAACCAATTTCCTCTTTGAAGCAAGATACAAAAGTAACTCACCTGGAAATCTTGATCATCAATTCCAAATCGCTCCCGAAGATTCCGGAAAACCATCGGGCAATATTCCTTAAACTTGAAGTGGCTGGGCATGTTTTCTCTGCAACAGTCACATTAGAATAAAGCTCAGGCAGAGCAAGAGCTCAGCAGACTCTGCTCTGCTGCCACTGAGCCCTAGCTGGAGCAGGAAGGGCCTGGTATTCATTGTTCACTGCAGGCTTCAATGACAACCCAGCAACATCCAGAAGGCAGAAGGGGACAGATCAATAATATAATAACAAGGGAGACTTCCCTTGTTACAGGCACACTAGAACTGGGCAGCCCTTTAATACTGGCCACACATGTAGTCATTTCCCCACTGAGGAGATGGGAGGGGAAGGGGTCAGATGGAGGAAAACAGGAAGGAAAAGTGAAGAAGCTGGAGAAGGGCTGATGATGAGGGAAAGGGCAGCAGAGCAAGCCCAGCAGTGGGCCTGTGTTCTTCTGTCATTGTGCAGCGGAGCTGAGAAAACAGGGTGGTACCCTCATGTCCCCAGTGACTGGTTTTATACAAATGCCGCATTCTAAATTTGCACTGAGAAAAGGCCTGTGAAGAGTCAGCCTCTACACCGTGGGGATGTAGTTCAGCAGTAGAGCCCTTGTTTGGCATGTACGATGAGGCCATGCGTTCACTCTCTGGCAGAGAGAGACCATGAGAGAGCTGGGAGGCGGAGTAAGAGAGACAGAGGTGGAGAGAGAGAGAGAGAGACCGAGACAGGGATGTAGAGACACATGCCTAGACACAAAGGGGCAGAAACAGAGAGAAAGAGAACAAGCTTCATCCTTGATCTTTACATGGCAAGGACATCTTAGAGGCTCATCATCCCACTCACACAGAACTGGCCCCTCCTTTGTGTTCCCACAGAACCACATATATAAATTATGCACACGTCTACACCTCTCTGTCATCATGATTCATACCTGAATTACAGTAATTTGTGTGCCTGTGTGTTAGTTTCTAACAACAGCCTGACTGTGAGTTCCAGCTCTCTCAATGGACTACCTCATATCTAACAGGTGCCCCATCTTGACATCTAAAATGACATTCAAGGAATAGTCTTCATGTCCAATGTGGCATCCAATTATGTTTTAGAAAAATGTACCTTAATTCTTTATTGTTCTACAACATAGTCATTTCAGTCCCTAAAGTCATTTCAAAGCTTGGTATAAGAGAGCAGAGGTATATAACTGCTCAAAAATTCAAGCAATGTACAGTTTCAAGAGTTTGAATTGTTCTGAGAACATCTCTGCTAATGTATAAGATATTCATAGAGAACAATATGCCATATGGTAAAAGGATATTATCCCAGAGGGCCTGCTGCTACTTCTCTGAATATGACAGATGGTTATGTTTATCACAGGATTAACTTCATCAGCAAAACTTTACTCCCACCCATTGAAAAATTATGTGATTACAGAAATTCACAACAGTACTTTCAACAGCCACCACAGTCCTCTGAAAAGTTGGACTTGTACTTACTTGTTAAAAAGGTGATTGTCCACCTTTATCTTTGAATAGGCTTTGAAGTCATCTGGCATCAACATGACAGGGATTTGAACATGGCTCAGTTCATTGATCTAGGAAGATAGAAAATAAATAGCACCAGTTATTACCATTTGGTGGGAAGGACTTGACTTGAATGTGTGCTTGCCAAAAAAAAACCTGGTGGACACAGAAACTTCCTTGCCTGCTGATTCTCTTCCCTCCTTCCCAATATCTATTGTACGCCCTCTCTGTTTTCCTCACTCCCTCATCAGACTTTACCATGGTTTCCTAGCTCTCACCTCGCCCGACTACCACTTCTGTTTGATGGCCTCTGGATGACAGTGGCAAGGGTAGATCATCGGAGGAGGCCAGTCCTCAGGGCCACTTGTCCCAGTTCCTCCTGCTTCTTACCTTTACACTTCCCCTCCAGACCTTCAACCTGGCATCTTAGATGATTACATCTCCAGACAATATCTGTCTATAAAGAAAATTGAGTCAGGTGCAAGGGTTCACACCTTTAATTCCAGCTGCTTAGGAAGATCAAGGTTTGAGGCCAGCCAGGGCAAAAAAACTGTGAGAACCCCATCTCAACCAATAAAGGCTGGGTATGTGGTACTTGTGCCGTCCTAGCTATGGAGCAAGTATAAATAGGAGATCCAGGCCCAGGCTGGCAGAACCAAGTTTAAAAATAAATACTAGAGTGGGGCATGAATTTGCCAACAGAGGAATCTTTCCTGAGGGAAAGAGAATGGGTTACGAACAAAACCTGAGCTAGGTGTGGTATACCCCAACACTTGGTTTTTTTTTGGGGGGGGGTCCGGTCATGGGGCCTGAACTCTGGGCCTGGGCGCTGTCCCTCAGCTCTTCAGCTCAAGGCTAGTGCTCTACCACTTGAGCCACAGCGCCACTTCCGGCTTTTTTCTTTTTTTTTGCTTATGTGGTGCTGAGGAATTGAACCCAGGGCCTCATGCATGCAAGGCAAGCGCTCTACCACTGAGCCACCTTCCCCGCCCCACCCCAACACTTGGGAGGTGAAGACAGAAGATATATAGAGTTCAAGGCCAGCCTGAGCTACACAGTAGGACCCTGTCTCAAAACAAAACAGAAAAAAAATTTCCCAATACAAAAAAGGCAAAGATGGTATTCTACAGGACAAAAGGTGGAGTCCAGTTCCATTTACATGCTGGTGAGCAGCAGGTAGGCTTCTGACATATGAGTTTGAAAACCTGTCTGGGTTAGTTGTTTTTGCATTTTGGGTCCCAAGCTATATTGCTTGCTTGTTGCTAGCAATGAAAATCACTTCAAAGGTTTATACCTCCAGCAGAATGAAAGACATTCTGAAATACACTCGATTCCAAAAAACAAGAACAAGACCAGCAAAAAATAATTTCCCAAACAAAAATGAGTTCCTCGAAAGAGCCCAGTTTTCAACACATTGCTATGTTCACAGTAAGCAAAGGAAATCTCCAGGACACTCTCCTTCCCTGCTGATTCAAATCCACAGTGATTAAATCATGCTAGGGTGATTCTTAAGCAAGTCTGAAGACAAATGCCAATTTCAACATTTTCTTGGGTCAAAGCTGGAAGTAGAGGAGAGAGATTTAAAGGGAACACGAAGAGAGAAATGGGATTGGTCTTTCCAGAGAAAAGGAATCCACTTGTAGTTTAGTGATAGTTATGGGGAACAGCAAACCTATAGAACTCACAAGAGCTGGGATTCTTCAGAAGTTAAGTATTTTGCTGTCAAAGTGTGATATGAAGATAAAGGAGCAAAGGAGTTCCAGGATCATTCCTTGGAAAGGGAAAATTAGTACTAAAAACAATCCAATAAACTTTGTTTATTGGCTTGGCATTCTACCCAGACCAATCATTCCAGATGGCCCACCCCCAAACTGATTTATTATTACCAGTGTTTGTTTGTTTTGTGGTGCCAAGGATAGACCTCAGGCATATATTAGTCAAGAGTTCTGCCAGGTTTTTTTTTTTTTTGCTGTTGTTTTTGTTTTTGTTGTGTGTGTGTGTGTGCATGTGTATGTGTGTGTGTGTGTATGTATGTGACTCCTAGGGCTTGATCTTGGGGCCTGGGTGCTGTCCCTGAGTCCCTGAGCTTTTTTGCTCAAGACTAGTGCTCTATGACTTGAGCCCCAGCTTTACTTCTGGATTTTTTTAGTAGTAAATTAGAGATAAGAGTCTCAAAGAGTTTTCTATCCAGGCTGGCTTTAAACAGTGATCCTCAGATTGCAGCCTTCTGAATGGTAAGGAATAACAGGCATGAGATACAGGCTCCTGGGTTTTTGTTTTGTTTTTTAGACAAAAGCGTTTACTTTCTGATTGTCTTGTAGATACTTAAATTGGATGCACATATATATTTATGTAAGTTATATAATATTCATGAAAGGACACAAAAAGATTTGTGTTAACCATTGATACTATGAAGGAATGAATAATATACCTCTATGCCTTTGGAATAAGTATATATTATAAAATCCAAATTGTTTTTAATTTATGAAGATAAGAATGGTTTCACAGTTTATTAAACTTTTATTAGGTTAGCAAAATAAATGGAAATCACTAGTTATTCAGGGCACATTTATAGTTCTTTCAGGTTGCAAATATTTAATGAACTTTTACAAGGAAAGGGCAATATGAATTTACACTTGTAAAGCAGTTAATGGTTGTCAAACTAAAACATTTTAATCCTGTTTGTGCTGACAGGCATATTTATGATCATCCTTTTGTACGTGTATTAGAAATACTTCCATGCAGAGGAACCACAAGCTAGATCTCCTTGGATCACAACTACATTTTGGCCTAGCTGCTGACCATACTGCTAACAATAAAGAAGCAAGGTCTAGAGTTCAAGCACCAGTACTAGAGCTTATACACACACATACAGACAAGAAAACAAAACAAAAGAACAACAACAAAAAACCCACAACCCTATTCTGGAAAAAATGTCTTTCCTGATAGCCAATGGGCTTAGATACTACCATTCCCCTCATTCTTAAGATAAGGAAATCAAGAGTAGGTAAGATATGAGCAACTCAATGGTACCTGGAATCCAGCCTAAGCTTTTTTCCTTAGTCAAGGCAGCTCATTAGCGTTATCTCAGATTAAAAAATTCAGGGAGTATGACAGGCTGAGCCTCAGATTCCTTCAAATGCCTGCTTTCCCAGAGGGTTACGGTTCCCAGCAAGTTCATAAAACGATCTGAAATTTATGTCCTCATTTTGCTAAAAATTCCTAAAGGATTTCTTTTTGTAGGTAGTGACTGAATAGCATAAACACATGCTTAATGGGATATGCACTGTGGCCTACAGTTACATGAGCTGTCATTTCAATGGTACAATTCAAACCTGGGAAGGCCTGTGTCATGACTAGTTAACATTCCTTAGCATGTTTTGTCACTTCCATAAAGGGGAAATAAATATTCCTCAATGCTATTTAGATCTGTATCAATCAAAAAGATTAACGTTAAAAATCCAACGTTGAGTTCCAAAGCAATTATTTATTAGAGATTCTTCCTTTATTCAAGTTATGATTAACATAAAGGAGAGCAAGTTTTTGAGAGCACTTCCTTTAAAAATACTACACAGACCACAAGACACTCAAATTTATCTTATATACAAGTTATGTCCAACACTGTAAAACATAGATTTGTTTTTATTGGGGGTTAGATCTGTTGATTAAAGTGAATTATCACTCCTCTAGATGTAAGACTGAAGCAGGATTGTGGGATCAAAGCTAGCCCGAGTTAAATATTGAGACCCTGTCTCAAAATAAATTCGAAAATTTAACTTACAAGGCTTTTCACGTCAAGGAAAAGAATATGTTCATAAAAACGGAGGCATTATTAAGGACAGTTAGTTAATTCAGCTGCATTGACTCTACATGGCAAGTTCTTAGATTAATACATAATTAGCAATTGATTTTCATTCAATCAAGAATGCATAAAAAAGCTCCCACCCAAAAATATTTTAAAAATCCTCATACCAAAAAAAAAAAACCCTCCTCACATATAGGAGACACTGACATACTTAATCCAATTATAGTAAAAACAGTTCTCCACAAATTATGAGAAAGTATGAGCAGGGAGAGTCTGGTGTGGGCAGCTGGAGGTTACACCGCTGGGTATAGACTATCAGAGGGCAGGGCAGGGCTGTTTCTGGGCAGTGAGTCTACCTGAGATTGGGACAAGAAGGGAGGTGGAAACAAAGGAGGAAGGATGATCTTCTAAGACCATCCTCCCATCTAAAACACACTTTGAAGCTGCATGCATGGGATAGCACATGCATTTAACAGAGATGAGAAGTCTGATCAGGAGACAGAGCTTGCAGTTTGAGGCTAGGCAGGCAAACGTTTAGCAAAAGCCTGCCTCAATAAACAAGCTGGGTAGTTGTGTCATATGCATGAGAGGCATGCATGAAAGGAATATGCTCCAGGCCAATCTTGGTAAATATAAGAAACCTTACTGGGAAAAGAACAAAGCAAAAAGTTAGAGGGGTATAGTTTGGCAGTAGAGTACCTATCTAGCGTGAGTTTAAATCCTAGAATCACCAAAAAGTTACACATACACAAACATGCCAAAATACCGAAGTGGGCTTACTTTATCTCCCAAACTACATTCCTGCTGCTGACAAATAACAGCAAATTTTGAAATATAACTCAATAGTAAAAATAACTGATCATCAGAACAGAAGAAACACCAAGGATTCAAGATGAGCAAGGACACAGTGGGAAAGAGAAAAATGCAATGAAGAACTTGACATTATTATGTGATTTAAATATTAATGAATTTCTTAGGGAAATCAAATAATAAATGTGCCATACCAGATACCCTATACTTTGCCAGATTTTTTTCCATTGTTTCTGGAATCTTCATGTAAAAAAAAAACAAAAACAAAACACACATGCACAAAACAAATTCACCAATTCTGTTAAAATTCTTTTCCTCCTTCCAAAATTTCTCCGTATCAGTATTTGAAAATATTGCAGATACTCTCCACTGGCTTCAACTATAAACAAACAAACAAACAAACTCCTCTGTAGCTCTTCAGATGCTAAGAGTATACAAGGATTCATCTATCCACAT